ATAACTGAATGATGTATCATGTAACATTTAGACTTTGTTTTTAATATTTTGCCTAAGATTCAATAAACTTCCTTTTTAATGATTTAATATGTCAGGCTTTGCAGGGTTAAGAAATTGGAGTGTAGGAGTAGCCTGCCTTTTATTTTGATCAACGCAGTTTGCTTTTGTTTGTATTAGGCAGTTAGAACAGGCCTCTGCTGTTTTATTTTCATTTGCATTAGATAAGTTATAATTTCTTTGGAATTGAGATTTTGTTTCCAATTAGTCGACCAATAAGGCCTTGTAAGTGCCAACGCAGATTTCTAGAGCACAAGGCTACTGATATAACCGCAACATATATAACAAACTTAATTGCAACAAATAAGATATATAGATTTATACAACAGTTCTTTCTGGTCCTCGAATCTGACTGGCTGATAAGAATGTGATATTCAAGTGATATCGTAACTCCAAACGTGTCACTGTTTGTATCACTCCACTGTCATGGCTGATGCACAAATCCACTATAATTTCATAATTAATACCGTTTTTGTCTCACAGAATGTAGTTTTATGAGTTTTTAAGGCAATAATGTACTTGTTTAGATTTCAAATATGCAGTTTGTTAATAAAGATAACATCCATTTGAAAATTTGCTTAGACGTTTTCGGAGATGTCAGCTCCAGGATGTCAGCGGTTGTTCAGTGCTCATAAACCCGCTGAGAAAAGCCTTACCTTAATGAGTCCTTCTACAATTTGTCACTGGCTCTGAAGTCTCTATAGTGGTTAAACATGAGATTCGTTTTCGCTTGTTTTGGGTAAATCTAACGGGCAGTCTTTGGTCTCATTAATCTATTAGTTGTTCCAGAGCAAATAGTTTTGGCTTAGGGCATAATCTCATCACATTGTTTTTATGAGTGAGTCAGTAGTAAAGACTTTTATATTGAAAGAGACTGAAATGTAGGACGGTGTTTTAGTGCCACGATAAAAATGAAAAAAAAAAAAGAAAATTACGAGATTAAAGTCATAATATTTCGAGAATAAAACTGAAATATTATGAGAATAAAGTCGAAGTAACAAGAATAAAGTCGCAATATTTTGAGAATAAAGTTTAAATTACAAGAATAAAGTCCAAATGTTTCGAGAATAAAGTTGAAATTATGAAAATAAAGTCACAATATTTCGAGAATAAAGTAGAAATTACAAGAATAAAGTCCAAATGTTTCGAGAATAAAGTCGAAATATTACAAGAATAAAGTCGAAATATTACGAGAATAAAGTCGAAATGTTTCGATAATTAAAATCGTAGAAATTAAAGTTATAATATTTTGAGAGTATAGCCTTTAATGCGCATGCAAAGGGTCCAGATTGAGAGCAACGGCAGAAGTTGCCAGGCTACCGGAATTGATTTGAATATTGTTGCGTCCGAGCAGCCGCATCATCTTACTGGGATGAGGAAGAGTCAATTTTAAGGACTCGCGGAAACAGCTTAATATCAAGAATATGATATTTATTAACAGACTGAACAGGAACAACTTTTTATCTTAACATCAGCTCACACACCCAATCGACATTCCTTTGGGGGGCGCTGTAGCTCTCTTATTTAACCCTTTTTTAATACACTACAAATATATGTGGGATTATTAGCAGAAATCATACCATGTGTCATACTCGCGGGGACAGTATGCTTGGAAATAATATTTCATGTCTTCCATTGCATTCGTTATTTGTAGTGCGCCAGCCACCCAATAGCAATAAGCTTTGTGCTTTTGGTAGGCCTACTTTTAATATAAGTCTCAGCTTTCAAAATCAGTTTTATAGCGAAACACAAATTATGTGTCTTACGTTACAATAATGTGTCTTCAAGCTCTTTAATGATCAGATCGCTGTATTTATGTGAACCAGTTCATTAAATTATACTGTTTTCTTTGTGAAAATTCCAAAATTCCAAATTTGTGAAAATTCCACCACCTACTCCGCAAAAACGTCTGTGGCGTCCATACTTTTATTCCTCACATGTAGCCTATTTAATTAATACAACGTTCTAAAAGTTGAAGTGGGCTCCAACTCGTTAACATAAGTTATATTGTTTTCTTTTCTGAGGTAGCCTGTAGGTTATAACATGTAAGTGACTATTCACAAGCTGTTATATTCATGGTATAATACAGTAAATGATTGGACATAATATTTAACGTCTTCCATTCATTATTTGTAGCATGCCAGCCACCAGGTAATCGCAATAATTTTGTGCTTTGTTGCTTTTAATATAACACAGCTCAGCTTTCTAATTCTGTCAGTTTTGTCACGAAATACAAATTATAAATGTGTTTTCCTGTTTATTTCAAGTTTATAGCAAGATATAAAAAGTGAAGGAACATTAGAAGGCATGTAAAAACAGTATAGCTTAATTTATAATGAAAATAATGTCTCATTATTGTAATTGGAAAGACTCACATGCCGCTTAAACTGAAGCAAATACAGCGATCTGTCACACCACATTAAAGAGCATGAAAAAAAACACATTATTGTAATATATTGTTTGTATATCGCTGTAAAACTGACAGATTTTGAAAGCTGAGACTTTGGAATATCTCCCGGTGCTCCCAGTCCGGGCCATTTGCATGTGCAAAAGGCTAGAATATACTCTCAAAATATTATAACTTTAATCTTTATTCTCAAAACATTTCGACTTTATTCTCGTAATATTTCGACTTTATTCTCGAAATATTTCGACTTTATTCTCGAAACATTCTCATAATATTTCGACTTTATTCTCGAAACATTTCGACTTTATTCTAGAAACATTTCGACTTTATTCTCATAATGTTTCGACTTTATTCTCGTAGTATTTCGACTTTATTCTCGTAATTTCGACTTTATTCTTGAAATATTACGACCTTAATCTCGTAATCTTAGGATCTTAAAGATTTTTTTTAACGTGGCACTAAAACGCCGTCGTAAACACGTTAAACAGACAGCCCTAAATATATAATATAATATAATATAATATAATATAATTAGTATATTTCTACTCTGATTTTTGTGGTGACTTCTTCTCCACTTCTCCTAAGGCAAACATCTCGAACTTTGACCTGGTAATGGAGTCTGACCTGGGCACCTTCAGTCCTCTGGGACTGCAGTTCACTGGCAGTGACAAAGCTCGGGCAATCATGAAGGAGGTGATGAAACTGTTGGCTCCCATCAATGTCACGTCGCTTGAAGAACATGGAGAGGGAACAGACATTAACATGTGGATGAAGGCTGGGGTTCCAGGTCAGTTTCATCTAGCAGAATTCATTTCTGGATCTTGCCTTGTGATTGATTGCAATTAACAAAGTAAAACCGCACAATCTGTATTAAAAGGACAGTTCACTCAAATTTGAAAATTACTATTCACTGTCATGTCATTCAAAACCTTCTTTCTTCTGTGAACACAAAATGTACCCTTTGTACCTATTTTATACTTGTTATATTTGCTTTTATCATTGTCATTTTTAAGCTAAGAAGCCACTCACTAAGCAAACATGGTTATACACATGTAATGTGTTTAATTTATACTCTTTTTTTTGTGCTTCCCTCATACAAACTGCAATGGACTTCAGCAGTCTAATGACTAGAAGAACTGCATTAATTGTTTGAGTTCAGCCAATGGTCTGTGAAATTGGCTCTGAAAAGCTTGGGAAACTTGGCAGAAGTGAAGAGCGCTCACATGGTTAACCCCCATGAGCAGATTCGGACAGGTGCAATGTAGTGTATCATTTAATATTTTCACACTCAGAAAACTGGCAGAGTTTGCTTTTCATGACTATTGATCGTTTCTATCGCTATTAAAATAATGAACCGTGACCAGTATCTTCAATATTTCCAAAGAAAAAATATCTGTTTGTAGCATCAGAGTGTCTTCTCTGCAGTTTTCTGGTGTAACAGTTACAGTGGGATTCCTGAAGTCCTGAAGACACTTCCACTTTGCATTTTTCAAATTTAATGCATGTTTTTCCATTATTTTCTTTCATTTGTCTTTAGCATAAAAAAGTTAAAAGTCGAACAGTAAAAAGTGAACATGATTTAACAATTCACGTAATCCGGCATGTTGCAAAGAGCATCTTTTTCTGGCAAGAATATCTGACATTTTGTACCTTGCCTGGTCTGTGTTACAGATTTGCTTACATTTGATTTAGTGACCTAGAAACATAAATATTTGGTGTTCGTTTTATGTCATAACTTTTCTTTGTTCTTGCTTCACAAAGTGATTTCAGACTCTGAGACCCCACTGTATAAGCAGTCACTAGCTCTTGTGAAAAGTCACGCATGGCAGCTATACTGCCTTCTCCCGTCATCATATTAAATTACTTGAGCATTAGAATGGATAAATCTCATTAATGTCTGTAGTCACCAGTCTGATTGCTTTAACCACCAATGAACTGCGGCACACAAGAGGATCGGTTGTTCCCTCGCTGCACTGCACACAGTGTTATCAGATGAATTGACTATGACATCACTGCAGGAAAAAGGAACGCAGCAGGAGGCATGTAGAAATGTATGGCGAAATTCGGCTGAAGTTTAAAGCCAACACGTTAAACAAATGAATCACCCGCACAGCTGTCTAAACAGCCACAGCAACACAGAGCAACTTGAGCTGGTTTCTGTTTTCCAACAACAGAAGATTTTGTGCTGCATTTGATGTGTAATCACAAGTTGCTCTGTAGTTTTTCCCCTTGATAAAGCTGCAAATTCAAACATGAAATCTTGGCATCGCTTTTAAACAGCTTCTCTCAAGTTTAATGTAAGCTAAGATTTCTGTTTCTGTTACAGTCATGGCAGCTTACCAATTCAAAAGCGGAGCTTGATACGGTTTGTATTTGCTGTTGGATATTGTAGAATATGTCGCAAATGTGATGTAGTATTATGGGTATTTATCTGGTATAGTGTTAACGGTGCAGTCAGTAATAATCAAAAAATCAAAAGCAGAATAAGAGTTTGATAAATGACCGTTTCTTTCTTAAGCTCAGCAAAGCTGCATTTATGTGATCGAAAAATATCATCACGATTAATATAATTGGATAATAATATAAAATAACTGTTTTCTGTTTTAATATCTTTAAAATTTAGTTTATTCCTGTGATGGTAAAGCTGAAATGTCAGCATCATTAATCCAGTCTTCAGTGTCAAATGATGCTTCAGAAATCATTCTAATATGCTGATTTGGTGCTCAAGACACATTTCTTATTACTATCTACTGTATGTTGAAAACAGTTGTGCTGCTTAATATTTTTGCAGAAACTGTAAAATATTTATTTTCAGGATTATTTGATGAATAGATGAAAAGAAAAAAACGGCATTTACTTGAAGTATAGTTTATTTTGTAACAAGATACAAGTCCATTTTGATCAATTTAATGCATTCTTGAAAAAACTGTGTTAATTTTATTTGAAAATATCTGACCCCAAACTTGTACGGCCAGATAGATAGATAGATAGATAGATTTTTAAATATATAACCAAATAGATGAAAAAAAAGAACGGCATTTACTTGAAATATAATTTATTAAGATAAGAGTCTAGATAATGATAGATAGATAGACTTTCACTCAACAAGCAAAGTACAGTAATTGTGGCAGATTGTGAATAACTCATTTCAACAGTAGCATCATAAACTGAAGTTTAGTGTAAATAAAAGATGTTTAAATATATAACCAAATAAATGAACAGAAAAAAAGGGCATTTCATTTATTTTGTAACAAGATAAGAGTCACTTTTGATCAGTTTAATGCATTCTTGCTGGAAAAAAGTTTTAATTTAATAAAAAAAATGATCTGACTGACCACAAACTTGAATAGATTAGATAGATAGATAGATAGACAGATAGATAGATAGATAGATAGATAGAAAACCAAATAGATGTTTTAAAATCCGTACTGATAGTTGCGTTTACATTGGAGGTTTGTTGGAACATAGCCTCAACCCTGTGCAGTTTTTTCAGTTCACTGCACCGTACACCTCACACTATTGATTCTAGGGCAGAGAATAAGCAATGCTTCACCAAGCACCCTTCTAAGGTCAAACAAAACTCTGTCCCTGAATTTCCAGGGGAATAAAGAATCTTGTGGCTGGTGCCTGTTCACATATGGGATCAGTACAGAAATAGATGGCAGGCAAACAGGCTTTAACTGCAACCACATGCATTCTGGATTCTATTGCTCCTCCAAACAAAGAGAATGAGGCCTGCAGTGGGATATAGAAAACGTTTTTGTCAATGTTTATGTCACACTGATCTTAAAATTATTTTTGCATGAGTGATGCTGTGTTAATGAGTCACTGCCATGGTCAGCTTGTCATCAGCGTCACTTGGATCAAGGCCTAGGAATATGAAAACCCGTACAGAGTTTAAAACTAAACAAAAAGAATAGCGTGCAGTCGTTTTGTAATGGCCCCAAAATGAATGGTAATTTAGACACCATGTCATTCGAAACTCATACGACTTCCTTTTTCAGTGAAATGCAAGAAGCAAAATTCTGAAGACTTTTTTTTTTCATGCTGTTACTATGAAAGTGGCCTGGAGATTTCAAGTTTCAAATACGACAAAAAAGCACCAAAAATGAATCATAAAATTGGTTGATGTCACATGTTATATTCCCAGTGTTCTAGAGCCATACGATAGCTTTGCGTGAGAAACTGAATGAAATTGATAATATTCCCCATCCAATCAGATGCTACGACCATTAAATTTGTGAACTGTGAACCAGATGCATCTAAAAAGTGAACTAATCATTCAGATCTAATTCAAAAGAATTATTTGTTCAGGTATTTGACAGACTATTTTCCAGAAAATCAGATGCACTTTATTATAAGTCGCACTGGTTAAAAATTGCATTTTTAAGAGAAGAAAAAGAAAAAAAACCCAAATAAGTCACATCGGTCTGTAAGTCACGTTATATTATTACATTCAGATTAATGTAAAATACCAGTTAAAAAAAAGTTTACATACATTATAAATACTATAAATACTGTATCGCCTCACTCCACAACAAAACCTTTAAAGGGGTCATATGATGCTGCTAAAAAGAACATTATTTTGTGTATTTGGTGTAATGAAATGTGTTTATGCGGTTTAAGGTTAAAAAAACATTATTTTCCACATACTGTACATTATTGTTTCTCCTCTATGCCCCGCCTTTCTGAAACGCATTGATTTTTGTTATGCAAATCTTCTCACATAGTGACGTAGATATGTGGGGGTGTGTTAGAACGAGCCGTTTTAGGTAGGCGTGGTTGACTCTTAACTTTTATAAAGAATATCTCTTTGGTTTTGAGACTTTAGTCTTTGCAACTTTACAGATCTTCTTTATGCACCAAGAGCTTGTAACACTCCAAAGAGAAAGGAAAAATTTAAATTGCATCATATGACCCCTTTAAATTTAACAAAATTCAGAAAAGAACAGGAATAAAAAATAAAAGTATAAAACAAAAATAAATTATTGTGGAATTTATATTAAATGGCAAGCCCAAACTAATTTATTTAAAGCGAAATGAAACTGCAGATGTATGGAAAATGCACTGTACAAATCCAAATGTTGACATTATTTTCATTATATAAGTCACTTTATTATTTAAATTGCAGCACAGTTCAAATGATAAAAACTGCACTTATGTACCGGAAAATATGGTAACTACATATAGTAGCTAGGAATTTAAGATTTTCAGAAAACCATGTCTGTTTGTTATGCAAGCCCATTTTCGGACTTTTTTCCTTGCAATTCTGAGTTTATATGTCAAAGTATAGCCAGAACTGTGAGATATAGTCACAATTACCTTTATTTATTTACATTTTTAATACTGTGGCGGAAACAAAAAAAGAATTGTGAGTTGTAAACTCAGAATTCTAAGAATTGTGAGATAAAAAGTCGCAAGTACCTTTTTAATTTTTTTATTCCAGAAACAAGCTTCTATAATTTGTTTCTTAAACCATGCTATCATATGGCTTCAGAACATTTGAGGTATTCATAATTTTTATATAACTGCATTGAAAAGAATGTGTGTTTGGAACATGTGGGTGAGTAAATGACGATGGAATTTTCATTTTTGGGTGAACTATTTGAAAGAGCAGACGTAAGCCAGACTATTTAATATTCTAAGGCAGAAGGACAATTTTCACACATATGAAACACAGAATCACACCATTTCAGTTATGTTCATTATGTATCTTTTTTCTCAGGCGCCAGCCTGCACACTGCAGACCAGAGGTACTTCTGGTTCCACCACAGCGACGGTGACACAATGAGCGTCCAAAACCCAGAGGAGTTGAACCTGTGTTCTGCTGTTTGGGCTGTGGTGGCCTATGTGGTCGCTGACCTGGAGGAAATGCTCCCCAGATAGTGAGTCACTCACAAACGACTGAACAAACCCCTGTCCATCAGCTTACAGCAGTCGGTCGATCACACCATTACCTTGAGAGTTCTCTATCAGCCTGAGATTTTTTTTTTGTGGTTTGACTTCATCATAACCTCAGGTACACTCCTGATCAATATATACTGCTACTTTGATACTTGTGTCATTTTCTTTTTTAATTTTCTATTGTGTAATTTCGTTTTATAATGGGAAATGATGTCATTTCTAATCATAATTTATTCATTGATTTGTCAATTCTGTAAAAATAAGTGGTTCATAATGTATAAAAAAATTACATTAAAAAAAAAAAAAATCTATGAATAAAGATCCAGCATCTGTGGCTAAAATTAGCTTGGGAAGTCTTGGCTTCACAATTTCATGTAAACAGTGACAAACAGTGTGATGCTATTATGATGTCATTTTCCACAAACTGAACATGTCTTAGTCATCAGAACATCTGACTTCCCCTTGGAAACTAAGCCTAGTTCTCCTTTCCTAACACAAACAGCAAACAAACAAAAAGTAATGGATATGCTACTGTTTAGTCATACTTCCTCCCTCCATTGAAAGTCCACTCCACCGAACTTTAACACTTCAAAAAGTTCATTAACACATTGTTAATGAAATCCAAATGAATTAGCAGTTTTGTCCAAGTCTACTGAAGAGACACAATAGCTTTATATGATGAACAGATTTCATTCAGGCTTTTATTCATATATAAACATTGATCAGCGCACATAGAGTACACTACATAGAGTACATCAAATGTGGTAAACATGTTGTTCTTTGAGCTTTGGCTTATCATGTGTGTTGATCGATGTGTGAGTAGAAGTATAAATTAAATCTATGATATATTGTGTTTCTTAAGAAGACAATTAAGCTGCACAGATGATATGGATTAATTTGATGATCTTTATGAACTCTCTGAAGCTTACAAATTTTAGTTGCATGAACTTTCAATGAAGCGACAGAAATCTTTAGAGATACTTTTTTTGCGCGTTTCGAAAGTGAACAAAAGTAACTGGTTTGGAATGACATGAGGGTGAGAATTAAATGTAAACTAAATTGACAACATCCTACTGCTTGGGCTACAAGCAACATTTCTCATGCTGGCTTGTTTTTCATCACCTAAACTAAAAAAAAAATAATAATAATAATAGTGATTTACTGGTTTCAAAAACACTTAAGTCTCAAACCCTAACTTTTTAGACAAGATGGCTAATTTATGGCTGAAATTATAGAAAAATCACAGACTTCAGCTAAATAAAACATAATGCACAAAAATCATCTATTGAAAGTGTAACTGTATGTTACTGTATTTTGATCAATTGAAGGAAATGCTGTGGTAAGCTTGTGTCCTCATTATGCTGTATGTGTACGTGTGTGTGCTCATGTGAGCTGCACTTAATGTCTGGTTTTCAATTACATCAAACAAGTAAGTTCTTGTTTCTATGACAACTTGGATTGAGAGGACATATGAACATTATGCAAAAAAATCGGCCCCAGTCTTTGGTTTTCCCACAGGTTTCTACTCACCATGACTAAATCTGAATCATACAAGCATCTTGAATGCACATGTTTCACAAAGAGAAATGTCACAGACTTGGGAGGTTACTGTATGTGTCAGTTTCCTGGGATCTGTGCATTTTTTCTTTTTGCAACGATTACATGCTCTTTTTTTCTTGACAGAGAAGATTTTATAGAGAAAATTACCCAGATAAGTTTGGTTAACAGGCTAATCGATCAGTTACCTGACGAAAAATGACTCCTCGAGAGTTTTTTCTCTGCTTTGATCCAATAACAAAAGTTTACAGGCATTGACCCAAGGCTGCTTTTACATTGCCTTGGGCCTCAGATTAGAGACCACATCATAAAAGCATTTTCCTGGGATTTCAGAGACATAGCTTCATCAAAAGCTGCCAAGACTTATTCTCTGACCTCGATGCAATATATTGACAAGATCCAGCTACAACATTTCTTAAAGCAATATTCTGGGTTCAGTACAAGTTAAGTTCAGTCGACAGCATTTGTGATATTACAGTATATTGATTTGAAATTATTTTGACTTGTCCCACCTTTTCAAAACCAGGGTTAAGTAAGTGAAAGGCACTTACAAAGGTGAACAGTCCCCATTTACTTTTGTTAAGAAAATCACGAAGAAAAAAGATGAAGTGATTTTAGTTTGAAAAAAAATCAACCCAAGGCTGCTTTTACATTGCCTTGGGCCTCAGATTAGAGACCACATCATAAAAGCATTTTCCTGGGATTTCAGAGACATAGCTTCATCAAAAGCTGCCAAGACTTATTCTCTGACCTCGATGCAATATATTGACAAGATCCAGCTACAACATTTCTTAAAGCAATATTCTGGGTTCAGTACAAGTTAAGTTCAGTCGACAGCATTTGTGATATTACAGTATATTGATTTGAAATTATTTTGACTTGTCCCACCTTTTCAAAACCAGGGTTAAGTAAGTGAAAGGCACTTACAAAGGTGAACAGTCCCCATTTACTTTTGTTAAGAAAATCACGAAGAAAAACCTCCCCTGAATTTTATTTTGAAAAAAAATCCCTATTTTTTTTTTTTTTTTTTGGTGAAAATACCCAGTTTTATGCCTTCATCGACATCGCAATGTTGATCAATAAACCCTAAAACAGCTGTAAAAAAAAATAGCTTTACAACCTCAAAAAATACACACATTTTAACAGAAGAATTGCTTTTAGAAGTGCTTTTAAAACATTTCAAGATTGTCATTTCTGTGGTAAAATACTCAAATTCTATAAAAGTGGTTTTCTAGAATTATAAGCTTCTCATTTCTGTGGTCAAATACTCCAAAAAATGCCCAATTTACTTCCATTTTTTTAAGAAAAGGAGAAGTGATTCGAAATAATTTATGTATCTAACGTTGTAATCAACATTATGCCACAAATGAGCTTAAAGGGACAGTTCACATTTACTCACCCTCATGTTGTTCCAAACCTATAACACTTTTGTTAATCTTTGGATCACAAATGAAGTTATTTTTAATATTCTCTCATCATTTTTGTCCATTCATTGAAAGCCTATGCAATCAACATTTCACGGAAGTTCAAACCTTAACGCTTGATGCGAGAGAACCAATGAGGATTGTTCTCACGCATTAACCAAGCACTCTGGATGTACTCCCTGTATGTGCTTTGATATATTTATATATGAAATTAAATCGGTTTATCATGTGTCTGTTCTGAAGACTTGGATTAAACTGCTTGATTCATATGGATTACTTTAACGATGTATTTTTGAAGCGTGAAAATGTTGCTTGGTAAAAAATATCTTCATATGTGTTACAAAATTGAAAGTCTTATAGGTTTGCAAAGACATAAATGATGACAGAATTTGTATTTTTGTGTTCTCCTTTTAACTTTTACTGAACCTGGAACATCGTTTAACCTTTCTTCTGGAGAATGTTCATATTTGTTTCGTGTAGTCAGGATTGGATTTGAGCTGTTGAGTTTGAGTTGCAGACCATGGGGTGTGGTGGTAAAAGTCGCAGAATCGCACCTTTGCGGCTGTTTTCCAGCTCATGTGTAGGAGAGAATTGCTTTGAGTAGAAAACAGCTGGAAGCTTTTTTGTATGTTATTGCAAATGATGTCAGGATTTGTGAGGGCACCACTCGGCCTATGAAAACAAAACTTAGAGCTCATTCTAGACACAGGAGGCGCAATCCGTTAACTTTCCCAGAGATCATAGATACAGAAGTGTGTGTAAGTGAGGTTTGGAGTTGTTTGGAATGCTAGACTTGGCTTTGGACTTAAAAGCATGCCTGGGATGGATGCATATGGAAGCGGTCAGTAATTTAATTACAGGTCGTGGAAGCACAGATCGCGGAAAGTAAAAGCACTCATTGTGACGTGGTTACTGTTGATCATACTTAACCCATTTTATATGCCTTAAAAGTTTCATCTGCTTACTAACAGACTTCCAAATAGGGCCATTGAGTTTAATGAGGTTACGCTGAGATTGTTGGTGTAATGAGTTGGAAAATCATGTGAGTGGGAAAGGCCACTATTTCCTCCATTTACCTACACTGAAGACAGCCCACCAGTAAACACAACACAAACCAATTTAAAGTTCCACAGAGTCACCTTCTTTACATAGGGTTATGGAGCGTGATGCCCATCCATCATGCTTTATTTATAGAATCAACTCGCCCCTTTCCACCAAGCTGTACATTAGGACATCTTTATTCAAGCACACAAAATATGTCAGAGTTATAGAGGAGACCTACTCATCTGTTCTTTTCTTAAAAAAAAAAAAAAAAAAAAATGTGAAGCTTACGGTGAGGCACTTACACTGTACAATGGAAGTGAATAGGGCCAATTACTGTAGGATTTAAAAATTAAAATATGAAGTCTATAATTGTATTATTTATTAATAAAACCTGCATTATTTGACCTGCTAAGCTGTTTTTCGTAAAAATTTTATGGTCGTTATTATGGAGCCCGGCACATGACAAAAGATATTTATCATGGCCACAAATGAAGAATTTATCCCTTTGTTTTATTAATTTGTTCCCTCGTTTTGCATAAATCTTGGCTGCAAATTAAGAATTTGTTCCTGCGACTCCCTTGTTTTATTAAATTATGGCCATATTGTACTAATTCATTCTGATTTAATTAAAACAAGGGAACACATTAGTACAAGGTGGCTTCAATTTACTAAAATAAGGGAATTAATTCTTAATTAATGGCCGCGATTTATTTACAACGAAGGAACAAACTAATAATTAGTGGGAATGAATTCTTAATTCATGGCCATGTCATACATAGGGCTCTGTATTTTTAAGATTTCAGGTGTTTCGTTGAATATAACTTCACACCGAAAAGGTTAGTAAGCACTTATTTTACACTAAAATCTAGTTTTTGTTTTTTGGCTACCTTTGAAACAGTGAGTCTTTACAATCTAAAGTTTAGATGTTTACGAATTGGCCCCATTCACTTCCACTTGTAAGTGCCTCAAATTTTTGCTTTTTGCTTATGAAGTAAGGAGGGAAAAGTCTGACTAATTTGTGGTAATCACCAATAATGGCCATAAAAATGCCATAAATGCTGTAGATTGAGCTTAACACCTCCAACCAAGATTTATGGATAAAAACTGACAAAAAATAATGCA